GCTGAAATAAATATCTGGTGGGTTGAGGAGGGGGGAGAGGGTTACCCCCGTGCAATCTAAGTGTATTTATGTTGTATTTTGATGCCCGTCTACCCACATCCTGGTGGTTTGGTGCCTCAGCCCCACGTAGTGATGTCTGTACCCTCAAATGGAAGCGCAAAGAGGGTTTTGATGTCTTGTTATATTCCAGGGCACCGTGCTCTCTGTTTTTCCATTCCAGTGCCTATGCTGCATCTCGGTAAGATTAGTTTCAGGTTAAATTCGGTGGCTTTTTAAAAGGGCGGAAGGCATTTTTTTGTCCGGTCCTTAGGAGATCTTCTCAGTGGGAATAAAAAGATGTGCTGTGTGGTGTCAAAGCACCAGTGAGCTTTGACCTCTGGAACTGCAGAAGAGAACCTGGGTGCTTCTCTCTGTGCTTGAACCAGGACTAAATACATCCTCCAGTTGTTAAAATCCTGAACTCCAAAGCGTGAGATTGCGCAGAGGGAAGAGCTGCGTTGGGTTTGCACTCGCTGGGCTTGCCAACGTGAAGTTGCTGTCATGGGAGTAAATTTATTATGGTGTTTTGTTGTTGGTTTTTTTTTCCTCCAGAGGGTTTGGTGTGGTGGTGGCGTTGTTTTTTCATTTAAGTAAAACCTTTCCAAGCCAGCCTGAGGGCGGCCCCGCACTGGCACATCCTGTGTTGCACAGCAGGATTCCTGGGCCGACTTCCTGGTTTCTGCTTCACTGCACCAACATCTGAAGAGAGATCTGCTCAGCTCCGCTATCAAAATCACAGAATCACAGAATCTTCATGGCTGGAAGGGACATTTGAGATCACAAAATGGGAATCTAGATCTTCAGACCTAGATCAGCGCATGAGTGCTTGAGGTCAGGTGCACTAAGGAGAGCAAAGAGAGCTCAGTCATAGAATCATAGAATGGTTTGGGTTGGAAGGGACCTTAAAGATCATCGAGTTCCAACCCCCCTGCCATGGGCAGGGGCACCTCCCACCAGACCAGGTTGCCTAAAGTCCTATCCAGCCTGGCCTTGAACACCTCCAGGGATAGCGTATCCATGACCTCCCTGGGCAACCTGTTCTGGTGTCTCACCACCCTCACTGTAAAGAATTACTTTCTAGTATCTAATCTAAATCTCCCCTCTTCCAGTTTAAAATCATTACCCCTTGTCCTGTCACTGCACTTCGTGACAGAGTCCCTCTCTGGCTCTCCTGTAGGCTCCCTTCAGATATTGAAAGGCCACCATAAGGTCTCCCCGGAGCCTTGCAGTCCTCTTTGCTTATCCCTCTGAGAAGGGAAAAATTGCCAAAAAGCCAAATGAAGTGATGATGGAGTATAGACCTATGCTCTTGCTTACCTCCCGCTTGGAAACTCTCACGCTTTCACACCAAAACTTCAACCTAACAGCCTTGAAGTTGTTTGTCGCAGCTGGCAACAGTACCAGATGTGGGGGCACGTCGTCTGCGGGCTCTATCTTGGGACCTGAAAGCGTGAGTGAGGGTGGCACGGGGCTGCCGGAGCCATCCCGTGGAAGCCAGCTCGGGCTCAGAGATAGAATAGGTGTGTCCTAGAGCGCTAGTAGGGCTTGACTTAGTTAATTGGGATGTCATGCCTCACGGCGTTGCTCTGCCACTGGTGGGGGTGAGTGTGTCCACGTGTGCCGTGCTGCTTAGGTGGTCTGTCAGCTCAGGTTCTGCTAGTTGGAAGAACCTGCACTTTTTTTTAGCTTTATACTGGTGCGGTGACCTGAGTATATGCAGAAAAACTCTTTTAAGAGTCAGAAAGGGAACATACACATTTTTACTTTAGTATGTTTTCTTTTTAAAACTCGTATTTCCTCCTGCACTACTTCTTTTTGTCCCCACAGGATAATTTTTTGGTGTTAGAAGGAACAATGCATCTTGAGACTGTTTCAAGTAGAAGAATTGCTGTTTTTTGAGCGTGAGCTGGTTTAGGGTGGCCTGATAGGAATGGAAGTGCCTGGGCAGCAGGAATAGACAGAGTACTGTGCTGTCAGGTTGGCTGCAGAAGCCACGAGCTTAATGACAGCGGGCGATGGGGTGGGAATAATCGTGGTCTTTCCTCAGAAGGGCTTGGGGCTGCCGGCTGGCTGGGAGCAGAGGCAGCACCAACATGTTCAGCTTTTCTTTTACTGGATGTTTGTGCCTTCTGCAATTCTGTGAGCCCACTGGCAGCATACAGCTGGTCGCTTCACATTTTGTAATTCTTGTACACGGTATTGAAGTTTACCTCCAAGGTGATGGCCATGACGTTACAGAAGCCGTAAGGAAGGACTGAGGAAAAAACCTTGAAACACTGGAATAACGTTTCGTAATGCTGAAGTGCTTTTGTTCAGCTCTGGAATGTGTATGCCTCCCTTGTTGTGCAATATTTGTCATTTCTTAAATAAGCTGTTTTGAAATCTAGACTCTTTTTTTTTTTTAAACATGTGTTTTGATTTTTCTTTCTTCTGAAATTTGAATGAGCAAAACTGGATTATTGACTGCTTGATATTAGGCATAGTTTAAAAAGAAAAAAAAAAGAAGGCAGGGAATGATGCAATAAGAGAACTGACCTTCGCATTAAAGTAACGTGTTTTTCTGGTGCAAGGTCAAGAATTAGGTTTTGTGTTTTGGAATATTTTTTTTTTAATGTGCTGATAGGAACTGGCTAAAAGCACAGTGGATTGAATGCTAATGCTGTGTTATTTGCTTACTCTGTTTGCCTCTGGATAATGTAGGTTTAACAGTGTTCTTTCTGAATGGCGTACTTGCCTACCAGACATTTTTTTTTTTTTCAGTTTAGTTGCCTGAAAAACATTGTTTTAAGATTATTTGTTGGCTGCAAGAGACCTCTGTTTGGCTGGATTATTTCACAACAAAGAAAGTAATCTTCAGTACCTCAACCATTTGGGTTCATATGCAGTGGGTGTAATGTGTTTTAATCAAAGAAGAAACTTACAGTTTCTGACACGCTGAAATGTTTCCTTTATTGCTTTATGCCGGTTTCTCTATTAACAGCCTGGCACATTCTCTGAACTTCATGCTTGAAAGATCTGACATCATCTTTCTGTGTATATTTGATTAAATTAAAGCAGTATGATGCAACTGTGTCTTGGCGCTGTGAGACTAAATATTCACCTTTAAAACTCCTGATAAAATATTCATAGGATGAGTTGATTTAATAGGGAGAAAGCAAAGGCGATTAATTCTAGCAACATACGTAGGGGAAAGGAAAAGATAAGCAATATTACACGAAGAATCATCTCAAAGCAAGGAAGGAATGTAAGTGTGCTTGTTCAGAAAAGTAAAGCGAAAACATCATGTTAGATTTTTATATTAACAAAGACAGTTCTGCTTTACTTACTTAAACAAATACTGGATTTCATTGTCTTACCCCAGATCTTGTCATGCAGTTTAATAATGCCAAACCTTATTGGAGCAGATCTTGTACTACAGTTTTGTAAAGGGGGGCTAGTGATTCTCCTGTCAAGTACTTGTCAAGTCAAACTTGTCCCACGATTATTTCTTAACTCAGTTATGGCTGATTGCAGTAAAGACTCATCCCACAACTTAACCTCTGTTCGGAGTCTGATGAAAGAATTCTGAGCAGCAGAGTCATAAATTGCAAATACACAGCTACGCTGTTTGGAGCCAGTTGTCCATATACGTGCCAGGACTCAAATGGTGTGAGTTTGGGTGGTAGTTTTATGTGTCTGTTCAAACACTTTTTTTTTTTTTTTTTCATAATTTCTTTTCGGATTTAGAAAGTTATTAGTTTTGCCTATTTCTTCTCAGTTTGGCAGCCTTCGTTGGACTTTACGTTTTGCTCTGGCAAACAGGATATCCCAGTAGTGCCCGCATAATGGCTGCGAGGGGATTGTCTGCCTTCCAAGCCTCTGTACAGCTGGCCATCTCGCAAGGCACTGTGCCATCTGCTCCTCGGGCTGCCCGCTCTGCTTCCCACAGCCCTTCTGGAGCAGACAGAGCCTTGTTGGGAGAGTCTCAATAGAGAACAGCTGTGCTTTAAGTGGGCTGGCGGCTGGCAGCTGAGTCTCAGTGGTGTTTATGTGACTAAGGCAGTTGTGTAGGTCTCAGCAGTTGCCCTGTACTGGGAGGAACTGTACGGTGCCCCCCATCAGGTACCCACTGCCCATGGAAGAAGTTTTCCCCCAATTCTGTAATCGGATCGGTTTGAAGTTCCTACGTGATTAGATCTGTCTTATGCAGCATTTTTCATGAAAGGCTAATCGTAGGTGAAACATTCTCTGTCCCTTTGTGTGGCACTGGTATGGGGAGTCTTTGAGAATTAATTAATATTCCCTTTCAATTTAGGACAGATGCTTTGGATTCTTCGGGGCCATCTTTTCCCCATCTTGCTCTTCTGGTACTACTGTGATTATGGTGCCCCAGTTAACGCTCCTGGCTTCTGTTGGAGCCCGTGGTAGAAGAGAAAGGATTGGCAAATGATCACTACCTGCTTATCTCTACTGATCCAAGTTCACAAAAATTCACTAGTAACATAACAAAGTATTTTCTCTGTTGAAACTAAAGGATGTTTCATACGTCTGTGAGTCTTCACCCGTGCGATTGGAAAGATGGGTATTTGAGTTATCACTGTATGGCTTTTCAGGACAGGCATTTCATCATGGAAGCGTGGTACAAGAGCTGTTGGCCTGCCCAGTCTGTTTTCCTCCCAGTTTAGCAAGCGTTAACAATGTATGGCTCTCAGGCACTTATTTATTCATGAGCAGATGTCAAGGGGGTGCCAAGCCAGGTTGTGTTCACGGGGGAATGCTGTGCATCACCCATTCCCTGCTGTGGATGATGGTGGGTCAGCTAGGATGGTGATAGTCCCTTCCTCTTGCCCCCAGCCCTCCTGCCTGACTTTTTGTTGTGTTTGGCACGCATCTTGTGGTTTTTGCACACATAGATTTTGGTGTGGGTCAGGAAGGTTGGCCACAGCAGGAGCTATTGAGTTCTGGGTGTGATATTCCAGGAAGGACCAGTGGGAAGCCATGGGAAGACAGCAATGAGGAACTCGCTCCCAGCTCAGGTAGTCCTTCCTTGGAGGTATTAACAGTCCTCCAATTTAGTCTTCCTGATTTTATGTGATGTTCCATGGGAAGACATTGGGAAGAGTAATAAACGGCCTGTTGATAAATTGCAGCAAGGAAGCTTCAGCTTAGACATTAGGAAAACTTTTAGTGCTGATGGTAGCTGAGTACTAGAGTAAATAGTTGAGGAGAGTGTGACATTTTTAGACATCACTGTAGAGCTTTAAGAGTAAGTCTGTCAAGAATGACATCAATATAGTTGACTCTTGACTCTGGAAAAGCCGGTCTTCCTCTGGTCCTTGAGATGTTTCTTTATCAGTTCAGGAACGTGTGGAGCAAGAACAATTGAAAACTTATTATCTATTGAGCACTAAAACTTTTGAGATCTGGTTGAAATGTTTCTTAGCAAGACTGTCATCGAGTCTTGTGAGTATGCTTAGTGAAGAGCCACAACAAGAACATATGACAACTCAGGAGAATGGATGTACAGAATACGGGAAATTACCAGTAGAACTTGTTGGATCCGGATGTGAACAGACCGGTCACGGGAATGGCAAGAATGTAGTTCTCCGTTGCTTGTGAACACAAAATTGCAAAAGTGATGGTACAGCCGATGTAGTGGAGTTATTGAGTAGCCTTATGAACCTGTGCCGTTCAAGAGACACACCACCATCTCCCGAGATGATGGTGAGGTCAGGCATCTCCTGAGGAGACGCTGTGAGGACTGGCAGACCATGCAGCAGAGCCAATCCAACAGTTGGTGGCCATCAGAACACGTAGCCCAGCTCCCTCCTCCCAGCTGCGTTCTTGCGTCTCTTGTGCTTGTTTGACTCTTCCTTGCTTCTTCAACTGGAGAAAAAGAGTCTGGCAAGAAAAGGGAAAGTTGTCCTGCCAATTTAATGAGCTAAATTGACTCACTGACTTGGCATCAACGAGAGGGAAGGATGATGTCCGGGAGGGATCGACACTTTTAGTGGCAGAAGCAGCAAGCGGTCAACCTGTCTTAGTTGTCTACAAGCTAGGATTTATTTTCTGTCACTTTGACAGCATGGCAGTGGCCCACTGAAATACTGAATTTCTTGAACATGTAATGTGTTCTTCATGTGCAAGTTTGAAGTATGTACCAGAATTCATGACAGGGCTTGTGGATCAACCAGATCAGCATCAACCGAATTGATGATGTTTTGAAGAAAATCAATCATTGCATGTATAACTGTAGATTTAATGCTCAATTGTTGAGGGTACCTGTCTTGCCCCATACCCTCCTCTTTCAAATAAAGCATTTGATTTAACAAAAGCAGATGTAAGGGGGGATTTCCCTTTTTTTTCCAGCATCAGTCATTTACTTTTTCTTGTAATCTCAGTGAGTCACTTTGTAGATGTTGAAAACGGATTGCAAAATACTTTCTGTATAAAAGTATTCGATTGCATTTGAGGCTTAAAAACTGGAGGACTATTAAGACTGCCTGGAAAATCCATTTTTTCATGTCCTTTGAATTCCCAGAAAACAGAAAAACCCCAGGAAGTAATGACACATGGTTTTGGTAATCTGTTAAACACTTTGAGGGTGAAAAGGCATGAGGGTGTACAGCTTTGAAGGCTAGAGCTAACAGTTTGCAGAAAAGAAAGTAAGAAATTTTGAGGAAATTACAGGATGACTGAATAGATTATATCCTATCCTTATATTATTAATTTGGTTTATATTTTCAGTTATAGGCTTCCAGTTCTCTAACTAAATTGGTAATTTTCATTTACTTTGAATAGCTGGGATTTAAGTTTTGAAGAGAAGTCAGTATAGACACCTGTTTCCTAGAAGGAGCATTGAGAAGGAGGTTTTTCTTTGGTCTTGGTGGCTGGAGACAAATGCACCTGAAGCATCAAATGGCAAGTCATTTCCAACCAAAAGGTTATCTGTATCAGATTTTTAAACCACGCTTCTCATGATGCCAGATTTTTGCTGAATCCGATTTGGATGTTGTTTTCCAGTTTTTGGCAGTCCTGGCTCCCTGCGTATACTGATTAAAGCTTGTCTTAAGGATTATTTTTACATTATAGTCACACTTCAAAAGCTCTCTGTTCATGAATGGGGACTATATTATGCTAGGTAATGTACATTTCAAGTATTTCCTGGCCAAAAATTTAGTGTTTTGTAAAAATCCCAAAAGAAAATCTTTTTTATGTGTTTAAATTTTTATTTATTTATTTTAAATTCTGAGCAAGTTCCAACTTTTTACTAAAACGTGACTCACTTTTTAGCCGTTAGTTGTGAAACCATGACTCAAACCCAGAGCTAAAGATGATCCTGAAGGTCTGGAGAAGTTTTCCAGAGGAAAATGAAATGGATTAGAACCATTTAAGGCTCCCAAAAGGCAAATGGGGAGCTTAACATTATTTTTGAAGAGGTGACTCAGGAAAGCAGTATGGCAATCAGTGTTTTTGGCTAAGTCCATGAGAGGTTTGGCTTTTGTATGTAGGTTTTGTCAGGGCCAGGCCCGGGAGATTTAAGGTCCCATCTGCAAAAGAGCCCCTGAAATTACAAGGGTGAAAGGAGATGACAGAATGAGTGAGTCAATAAATAACAGCAATTAGCGTTTTGAAAGAAGCAAAGCCCCATTGGCTGTGAGTTTGGAGGTATCCCATGTGGCATAATTTGGGAATGACAACCAAAGAAAAGAAATAGGATTACTGCTGACACTGGCAAAAACCGAGTGTTCTGTAGTAGAGGCTAATATGTATTAAATTATACTTCACCTTGAAGATTAAATGGAGCACTTAAAAAAAAAAAATACTTACGGAGAGTCTGATTTTTACCTTGTGTTGTCTGTTATTTTCCAGCTAATATCAGAGACTTCTTTTCCATTATGTCCATGTGAAACAACTTTAGCTTGATTATAATTTTACGTTATTTAAAAAAAGCAACCCTCAAACCTTTATCCACAAGGGGATGCAGTTGTCATTCTTTTTTATCAGTTCTCTTTATTAAAAAGGGGGGGGGGGGAAACCCCAACCCTTACATTAAACAAGTTAAGCATGTTCCTCCTCTGTCTGCTGGAGAGAAAGCCCAGGATTGTGCTCTTGGGGACTGCACGTTGTCCTTCCATCAGGACACTGTGTGAAAGCTGCCTGTGGCCTGTGCTTCCTCAGAAACTCACATCTCTTCTCCCTCTTGTTTTCCAGGAAACAATCAGAGTGGATGTTATGATGCTGAAATCCAGTGGAGAATTTCACAAAGGACAGGTTTGTCCGTTTTTTTTCTATTTATTCAGTGAATTAATATGCAGAGAAACCAAGTCTGCATGTGGATGCAAATACATTGTTTTGCCTGACGTCAGTCAGTGTGAAGTGTGTCCCTCTGAGAAGAGGATTGTCACAAAGGGCCAGGAACCACGCACTCATTCTGTCTGTCTGTCTTTCAGGTTGTTTTTAATATCAGCTATGCTAATGGGCAGGTGTATCTGAATGATTTTCCTATGAAGAGCGGGGTTGCCCACGTAACGTGTCAAACGGTAATATGTGAGTATTCTCTTTTTCTTTCCCCCCCGCCCCCCCGGGGTATTTGGCTTCCCTGTTCTCCAGTAACCAAAGTTGAAATGACTGCACGTTCTCATGCTCTGCAAACCTGAGCGTTGTCAAAGCAAATCATTTCCCAAGGTAGGATAATCCTGCTACTAAAACGGGTGGGAAAACAAATCTTACTGCTTTGTTCTCAAGTCAGATTCGCAAGCTTATATGCAAACGGTCTGATCTGAAATCCAGACTCTCGCCTGTCTTTCCCAAAGAATGTTCTGCAGGACGAGCTAGACAATGTAAACAGAAGGATGCGACTCCACCCTGCTCATGGCTGTGTCCCTGGGTTGGCTGGCACACATCCAAAACCAGATTCAATAACAAAAGTATGAATTATTGTTAGGAAGATCTTTTAATTGTCTCATTTTTGTGTCTATTGGACAACCAAGTTTCTGCTGGATAGCATATTATAGCACAAATACTGTAGTTTTGCTACTGTCCTGCAATGGTTATTGACTTCAAATTATCTTGAAACTACTGTTTTTTCCACTGATTCAATGCTACACCTTTTGTAAAAGACCAGAAAGTACTGTGATTTTTTTTTTTTTTGAGATATGCAGAGCATACTGTATAATTAATTAAACAAGGACCATTATGCTCATTTGATTTAAGCTTCTGTTGTATTCAGACTGATCTCTCGATGGATCAGGTGCAGTCAGTCTCCAGATTGGTTTCTGAGGTCATGCTCTCCTGACAATCAGGCATTTACTTAGAAAGTACTAATGCTTTCTCTAAATTGCTTTTCTGAGCCATGACCTTGTTTCTTGAACCTTTCCTCCCCAAGCATAATTAATTATTAATTTGACACTATTTCTTTTCTGGAGAGGGAGAGCAGTAATTCATTTCTCTTTCTGGGGCAGTTATGTTCCTATTGCTTCTATTTTTTCTATCCTAGGGTACAAAAACATGGTAAAATGTCATTTTTCTGCTAGATTATTGTCTCCAGAAAAACAGATATGGTTTTATTGACTAATTGAGAGATACTGAGCACTGCACTGTAGTTCCAATTAATTTTTGAAATCGTAGTTGTATAGCTTGAAGTGACTACAGTTATGAATATGAATCTGAAACAGTGAGAAAAATACTGATTTGACCTGGGAGTGAAGAACCTGGAACTCTCTGTCTCTGTGTTTGGGTCTGAGTCCTCAGCACACTACCTCTCTCTGGCATCTATAAACTAATATTTATACTATTTACTCACTACGTCCTTGATGATAAATTCAAGTAACTTTTGTAACAAGTATCTCAAGATTCCTTTAGCTTTTTTCCTGTTAACAGAGAGGAAAAGATACTCATGAATGTATGTAAAAACAGAACTTGCGCCAAATATTCTTGAATATTGGCAGAGAGACAAAGTCTCTGGGGTGGTGTTGTCTTCACGCTGTTGTCAGGTTGTGCCTGGGACCTGTATCCCCACTTGCAGTTCCTACAAATGTAAATTTTGGAGTGTCTCACCCCTGTTGAGTATAGTGGGGACTAAGCAGCCTGACACATGGAAGGCTGGGACCACAGGGAGCTTCTACATGTTTACACAGGTGGCTGGCTGGGCTGTGGCATTACTCTTACACACTCCTTTGGACAACTAAAATAAAAATGCACCAGTAGTGAAGCCAAAGAGTGCTGCTGTGCAAACCTTGATGGCTGGGCTGCAGTGCTGGTTGCAGACTCCCTCAGTCTGGGGATCAGGCAGTGCTGCTGGCATCTGCTGTGTTGCATCATGAGATCTGCTCCGAGTTTGAGTTGGTGATACAGTGCTAAAAAATCATGGCATCTGTTTTACCTGTTGCCCAGATCACTGCTGCTTGTAACAGCAGTGAGTGGAAGTGTTACGGACATCAGCATCATACAGACTTTCGTACCGCTGTTCAGGCATCTCTGGCTTGGTGCTGGAGGTCCTCTGGAGTTGTGATGACTCTTCCACTCAGATGCCACCTGTGCAAGGGCTCCTGTGTCAGAGGTGTACGCTGCTTTCTGGCTGGGGTCGTTTCTCTCTGAAAAGTGTCACGTTGTGTGTTCACAGTGGAGAACGGCAGCTTGGGGAACTCAGCAGATCAGCAGCGCCTGGGAACCGTCAGCGTTCGCATCATGGTTCACGAGTGGCCTTTGGCATCCAGCTCTGATTTGCAGCTGATTGTCATTCAGGAGGAAGTGACAGAAATTGATGGAAAACAGGTAAAAAAAAACCAAACCAACCCCCCCCCCCAATGCTCTGCTTGGTTTTAATCTAGGAGAGGCAAGTAGTTACCAAGGATTAAAAGGTTTACATGTATCTTGCTGGTGGTTAGAGCACAAAGTATATAATCTAATGCTTAACCAGCACAGTACTGAGGGACACTATACCAACTTAAGTTGCCTGTATAAATAGCAGGGACACTTCAACAAACAGGCTTCAAGTTTTAATGCTGCTATTCCTCTTTTAATAATTAGTGTTGGATGACTTTCTCTTAAGCTTCTCAGATATCATTAATTGTCACATGCTCTTTCAACACATTCATTTATGCAAGCAAAGTCACTCACAAGCAATACTGCATTTACAAAATAATATATAAAATTAATAAAAAGGGCATGGGCTTGTCCTGAGGTTGATCCCATCATTTATTCCAAGCTAAGAAAGTGCTTCAAGTATGTAGCATGGGGAAGAGCTTGCAGCAGCAAACTCTTACAGCAGGTGAGCATGTTGCACAAGCCCACGCACCTGAAAGCTTAGCCTTAGAATATTTTGTGTGCAAGATAATGCATATATAATAAGAATTTTGAGATGAACAGGAAAAAAACACGCCAAATTCTAACAGTATTTGCATAAATACCAGTGAAAGTGAGGGGTTACAATTCTAGCTGAGACTGAAATGTGCAGAACTGAGTTCTCAAAATCACCTACAAGGTACAGTTATTTTTCCAGAGAGGTTCTGGAGAGAAGATACAGCTGCTGAAGTCAGCAAAAGTGTCAATTTTTTGTTACACTACGTGCCTGCATCTTACATATAGCTAGGCTCTTCTGAAGCTGCCTTATGTTCTGACACCTTTATTTTTTTTTTAAAGGAGAATGATGGTAATACCATTGATTCTTACTACATGCTGAGCATGCAGTTAATTATTTTCTGCAGGGATCTGCATCATGTCAAGATTTTACTCTGCTAATGAAAAATCCTACTGAGGGGTTTGAAGCTTTTCCTGTTAGGCTAATCCCTCCTGGTTTGATTCAGTTGTTACCCAGGAGTACTGGTGTATGTCAGATCTCAAACTAGACATCACAACGCACTTCACGTTTTCATAGGGACCTGGAAAGAACCACCAGGAAACTAATGCTGTTTCCTTAATTGCTCCTTTAAAATCAAAAAGCTTTCAATCGTTCTCATTAGTAACCAGCTGACAGTAATGAGCATCTGTTCCACTGCATTGTTCTGCGCATCTTGGAAGCAAAAGGAGACCATTGGTTGGGCTGTGGCTCTGACAGCACGAGTGAAGCTATCACATGCTGCACTCCTCTCTTGTAGTTGTATTTCTATATGTAGCAGGTATAATTATGGTCACAAATGCTGTGGATTTCAGTCAGTTCTTGGCCTCACAGTGCAGTTATTGAAGTTAATAGGAGTTATGCTGAATGTGTTTTACACAAGCAATGCCTGCAGTGATTAATAAATGAAATGGGTCCCGTGCATCACTGGAAGAGGAGGAAGAAAACTGTTCTTTCAGTTGTTGGAAAAAAAAAAAGCAACATTACTGTAAAAGCAGAGGTGTCAGTCTTGCCTCAGCAACACTTCCAGTGTTTGCAAGTGCCTTTTCACTACATACATGCCCTAAAATGCTTCCCTGAAGGAGGATTGTAATGAGCTATGTAGGACTTGGTTAAAAGCCCATGGAGTGGCTGCCACGTGCTTTTGCAGGGAGAGGGGGACTCAGTCTGTTCTCTAATGTATAGGCTATAGAAGCGTGGTAAGTAAAAACAAAGAATACTAATCATGTTATAACATCCTTATGTCTAAATGTCAATGGCTCGGAGTTCTCTGTGATGCATTTTCTCTCACTCTCACTTTAAATTTAGCGATACCAACATGTTTGCTTCTCTTGTAGGTTCAGCAGGAAGAAGTAACAGAAATAGATATTTTAGTAAAGGACCTGAGAGTACTTAGACATTCAAACTACACTGTCCCTTTGAAAGAGAGCATGCTGTATTCCATCCCGAGGGACAACGACATCTTATTTACTCTTCCCAACCTCTCAGGAAAAGGTATCATCTCAGCTGATCTCAGACAATATTTTTAGCCATAGTTGATGCATTGCTCTACAAAGGTGAAAGAACATCATTATTCCTGTGTTTTACATAATGAAATGGTTTCTTCATTAACAGGGATGTGTTTTGTTTTATCTGGTTTGGTTTTTCTTTTTTTTTTTTTGAACACCTAAGATCAACTCTTCTACATTCTCAGTATTTTGTTTGTTTTCAAATCTGTTCTCCTTTGAAGCACTTGGTACTTGTAAATCTGCAACCCAGACATCTCAAGGGAATACATTTGTCTCTCAGTGCTATCATGGAAACTTCTCTAGAGCTCCCCCTTTTTCCTGAGACTGAAAGAGAAAACTGGAGAGGAAATACCTGTCTGGGTCACTTCCAAACCAGAGAATAGTTTGATGTCATTAAACTTGAATAACTTAAAAGCAAGAGATGTTACTCGATGTCTTAATCTGATTTCAGTTTTGTTTAATCAAAAACTCTCAAGGATTGCATAGGAGATGAATATATTCATCTAGTTTGTCACCTTTTAATCCAGCAACAGCTGAAATTCACAGTTTGGGACACAGGTAAAGGCTGCACTGCAATGCTGCCTCTGCTTCTTAGCAAGTTCACTACACAAATAAAAGTCAGCCTTTCTCTCTTCTTGCTGTAAACATGTGAGAACTGTACCAGAAGTATAGAAACGTGGCCTATCTTTGTTTTCCTGAATAGTGACTTAGATTTAGCGGGGGGCTTGCTTTTTATTTATCTTTTCTTCTTCAGATATTCAAGATCCACTGCAAACTACCAGTCAGTACCTGCTCCGGCAAGCAGAAACTACAGTAGACGAAGAGGCATTACCTGGAAAGTTACCAGAGACCCCTCTTAGGGTAGAGCCTCCGTCTTCTTACAAGGTAGTTTTGTTGTTTCTTTGTTTGAGGTTTTTTTAATTATTAGTGTAGTACCTTTAGAGACTGGTCTAAAAAGGAGCAGCTTTCTTTTTTTCCCCCCCTATGTCTCTTTCCCTGTTTCCCCAGAGATGAAATGCTTAGAGCTAGGTGACATTTTAGGAGGAAGAGTTGCAGTAACACGCTGCAGATAGAGCTGAATCTAATTCATTATTACAGTTTGAGGGAATAGACTTCCCTCCCCATTTTTAGGACTCTCTACAGAAACACATAGAAATATTATGTGTTTCTCCTTTGTGGATGTTTACAGAACAAACCAAACAAACCCAGCATTGTCAGGATTTAGGTAGCAGGTTCTCCTCATGCAAAGGCCAAACACAACATCCATTTAAAGATGCTAAGAAGGTATATAACATTCCTAGACTTTTCTCTTTGCTCCTTTATGGTTAATTTGAAGGAGAAAAAAAAAAAAAAAAGCAACATGATAGGTAATAACTCATTTCTGGGTAAACTTCCATTCCTATTTAACCTAGTATTGACTTCTCAGGCTGCTGTTTTGCTGCTTCCTGTTTGTTCAAGGCCAGGATTTCATACTGTGTGAGGTACCTGAGAGTAACTGACTTCCACAGAAGTCTAAGAAATCCCCACAGCCAACCACTAAGAAGAACAGATGTTTACAGACATACTCTAGGAAACCTAAAAAAAAAAACCCCTTCCTAAATTACCCCTAGCAGTGAGAAGTTGCTTGGGGTTTTTTCTTAACTGCACTAGGAAGCAAATGGGTTTCTAAATCCTGCAACGTTCTCACTTCACAGATATTAATGGCAGTGAGTTGTGATATTTACATTATACCAAGCGAAGCATTTATAACAAGCTCAAATTTTGTTTAGCTTTAAATTACATCCTTTTTTTTTTGGACTCTGCTCAGAGGCAAGTGCTCACCCCTCTGGGAGATGGGCCCTTGGTCTCGCTTGCCATAAAAAACACAGTAACAGCTTGAGAAGTTTCAGGTGCAGATGAGGTAGGGATGGACTTGCTTCCTCTGTGCCCTAAAGCAAGGGTTTATAATGCACTGCTGAGGCAGGAGGGCCAAAATAGTAGGCTGAAAGCTACAGACAGGCTAGAGAAGGTGCTACCTCTCTCCTGGGCTGTCAGTAACCCTTTCCCTGCTGTGCACTGCCATGGTGTTGTAGCTTCTCTGCACCTAGGCTGAATAGCTCATCCTTCAGCTCCTCTGCTCAAGTGTCCTTTAGTTTCCAAAGTGGCCTTTCCTTTCAGGGAACTCTGCCAGGATGAGCAGAGAACTAAACCTTCACCCTGTGCCAGACTTGGTAAAAAGAAAGAGGCCTGAGTCACCAATTACTCCATCCTGCTTTTCTGTATGTTTAAGCATACATAAATTTAAAACTATCACCATGGAATATGATTCACCAGTAGCTAAAAAAAATTGCACTTGTTATGTTTTGCAACCTGTCTTTTTATTTTTACCTGTTTGGTTGTAGGTGATGTGCCAGTGGGTGGAAGACTTGAGAAAAGGGTTGTGCAGATTCTGGTTTCGATCTTTACCCATCTTCTTTAGTTTGATGGAAGTCATTGTAGTTGGAGTCGTTGGAGCAGCTCTTATTCTCAAAGTCTTAAAAGTGATTTTCCCTTCCTGTGAAAACAAGTAAGTAAATTTTGCTATTTTTTTTTCTTTAAGGCAAAACATTAACTAAAATTTATGAAGAAGCAGCCCCATTCTGTAGGAAGATAATGGAAACAATTCAGGGAAAAGGCTGCTGGTAACTTTCCATTCCAAGTGACTGTTGTCACACAGGTGACAACGTTGTGTGTCAACACAGGCATTTCAGAGGAACATGGGCAGATCTTTCATGGGGAGCGTCTTTAGCTTGGCTGTCATACTGCCAAATCTTTATTAAGCCTTCTAAGGACTACGTTGTGAGATACCATTAACATAGCTCCAAGAGAATCACAGAATGGTTAGAGTTGGAAGGGACCTTAAAGATCAGCAGGTTCCAACACCCCTGCCATGGGCAGGGACACCTCCCACCAGACCAGGTTGCTCAAAGCCCCATCCAGCCTGGCCTTGATGATGAAGAGAGGAGGGTAGAACCTAGAGCTAAACAATTCCAACAACTTTAAATTTTTTAACACTTCTACTGTGTTGGAGTTGTTACAGTAGTTATGAAAGGCCTCAAATTTGGCTTTGCTAATTAATGCAGGAATTGTGCAAAAAGGAGCTCCCTGTATAGGCAGCTTACAAGCCAGAGCCACGGGTGCTGGCATTGATGGCAAAAGATCATAAAGTAAAGTTGACTGATTGACTGCAGATGGCTTTATTCTTTCCGTTGGTGTGTTACCAGCAACACTAGTGCTTTTCAGAGAAGCAAGCTAAGAAATTGGGATAGGTTTATTGCTGGAATGGGCAAACATATACATATTAAAGCTACCCAAGTCAGAAGACCTAACCCTTGGAACTGTACATTCTTTCAGGACAAGTGACTGACAGTCACTTCATCACCTACAGGCACAGCTGGTATCTTCACATACAACTGGCCAGTTGTGCTTCTGAAGGCCCCGAGTGCAGTTAATGCATGTATCCACCCAGGGAAACCAGTGGCCTTAGTCCTCCTGTCACAGCTAGGAAATGGAGAGCTGGAAAATCAGCAAGGTTGGAAACTGCAGTGACAAAAGAGACTGCTTCCCCCTGACGTTTCACAAAGGGTGCTGTCAGACTGGAGTACTTCTTGTAACTAACTTGTTAGAGCAGAAAAAGTGAAAGAAATACTTTTTACATCCTCCCTCCCCCTCCAGCAGTAAGTAGCTTAGCACTGCCACATGTGACACTTTGAAGTAAGTAGCACTAGGAAAAAAAAATTCTAATCCCCATAAACTGTTCAGCAAAGCATCTGATGGGCTGTCCATGGCAGAGGTCAGTGCAGAGCAGAGCAGAGGAACCAGCCTGCAGTAACTTCTCTTCCAGTTGAAGAACATGGGGCCCATGCAGGGCTTGTCAGAGCATTTCAAGAAATCGTAACACTGGGAAGATGCTCTTCCTCCCCTCCTCACCCCCTCTCCCCCCTTAAAAAGACAAACCAAAACCAGAAACCCAAAACCAAACCAAAAACCACACAGTAATTTTCTTGCTACCTGTATAAAGTGGTCCTGTAAAATGTGGTAAAAGTTTAATTTGTTTAATTCGATCGTAACACTGATAAAATTAGAGGCTTTAGCTTGTCTTAGAGAGTCAGGTGCAAGAGACTGACAAAGCAGCTCCTGGCAGCAAAGTAGCCTTCAGCTTCAGGCTGCTATGAAGTTGAACACGTAGAGCCTACACTGCTGATAATTCAGATGTAGAAACTGGGTGAAGGAACCCCTCAGAAACCACAGCTAGTACATTTTTGGAACCAGTTTTTCATCAATTTTTCATTCTAGCATTATAAAAGAGGTATTATGTGGGTACTGCTCACTTGATGCATTGATTTAAACTAAGTTTGGGGAGTTTAAGAATAAATCTAATTTTTAGAACACAGAATCGTTTTGTATATTGTTTTCTAACAGCAGGTAATCTTACCTTTCAGAGGCATCCTTCTCCTGGACCAAGTCAGCTATGTCCCTGTGATTACCATCAGCTTGCCTTCAGATCTTCCAGAAAGGAAAACCAATTTAGATGAGAAAGCATGCACTTAATACTGTGGTTACTCTGGAGTTCCTGTTTATTAAAAACAAATTTTTAGTTGACCTGAAATTTGGCACTTGATCTTAATACCTTGTTTGTTTCCTACTAAGAAAACTAAGTCAGTTGATGAATTGGTAAAGGGATACTCAGGCCGAGGCCCAAAGCTGACTTCCCCGTGCCTCTGCATAAACATGACCGTGCAGCCTTTGCAGAAGCTTCAAAATAAAGCAGCTTTCCACCCTGAGGGCGACCATGGGTTTTAACTTCTGTGAAGTCACTTTTCCACACCTCGCACAGGATGCTGGCTGCCTTCGTGCCCACAGATAAACCAGGTCAGCTCATCCTGAAGAGGGAGGTGATGAAATTCAGGGTGTCCTGAAGTCTCCAGATAGCATTCTGCAGGAAAGGACAAAGGAGTGTTGCAAATAAGTATCAGCCGTGCCTGCAAGCCAAAACAGAGCTGCCCAGCCTGGTTTCCAGGTCTTAGGGCTGCGTGTGCCTTGCAAGGAAAAATATTGCCACCAAACATTCACGTTACTCGAGTAATTTGACATTTTATATATGCAAAACACAAATTAAAAAGGCAGATTTATATTTCAAGCACTTTACATTTTCATGGCCCCTTCAACTCCTTAAAAATTGTGAGCACTTGTAAACAATGTGCTTTTTGTATCTGTGACAGCAGTACTACGTGAAGCCTCAAAAGGAAAAAAAGAAAATTCCACAGAACTCTCGGAAAGTCCTGGCTTACTATTGCTGGGTAGGGCCAGTCTGCCCATGCTGATTTGTACTGGTAACATTTTTCAAATAAACATTGAATTTGTTTATTAGACTGTGTTCATGTGTGCATCTATATTCGGTTACATAAAGCAGCAGTTTTCCAAGTGTGTTAAATGCAGGGTACTGTTAATTTTTTAGCTTTTCATTGTTCATATTTACAAAAATTGTTGATCAGAATGACTAGGAAAAAAAAAAAAGGGAGTTTAACTACCCAGCATTAGACTGAGCACAGTTAGCATTTGAGTGATCAGAATTATCCATGTTCAGCTTAAGTTGTTAGCGTGAGGGAGAAAAATCTAGGATATCCTCCCTGCATAAACACACACCTCTCCCCTTAAGGAAAGGTTAGCATAAGTTTAATGAGATCTCCAAGTTTTTCAGAAGCTTGTTCTTACAGCTGAGTTGTCTCACCAAACTGATGGCCCCGCGGTGGTAGAAGAAACATTTCTAACAATGACTTGCCTCGCAAACAGCCCAAACACAAACGTAAGACTGAGGTGATGCTAGAGCTATGGTGCCAACTGAATTAAAAATTCAATGTAGTGAAAGAAAAACACCTGACAGAGGGGTAACTTGTCCCTGGCTAAACGGGAAACTGCTAAGACTCTAGCGCAGGAATGGTGACTGCACAGACAAGAGCAAATCTTTAAACAGTTGGAGACAAACTCCTCTTTACGTGGAAATTAATTTTCTTTCCACTTTATGAAACAGCCCCGGCCCCTTCATTAATACAGTTCAGTTAGAAGTGATGTGTAAGGCTGGAGTTTAGCTTCTTTGATAAAAAGAAAAACAAAAAGGAGTAGGATGGACACGAAACACGACAGCTGTTCCTGGCTGCACAAGCACAGGATGAATCGCACCGCAGCTGGCAATGGGGCAGCTGTCAGCGTGTGCTCTCTGCATCCCCCCTTGTGAAACCGTAACCCACGCACCTGCACAGCCAGGAGGAGATTCAGCTCCGTTCTGAACAGCTGCAACAGCCTGAAAAAGCATCTGTGCTGCTTCACAGCTTGGCCGGTTTCCACGGGCTACGCGATCCTCTACTGCGTTCTACAAAGTCACACAGCACAAAGAAGGAAATACCCCCGTCAAGTTAACAAAATTAAATTTAAAACCCAGTGCAAATCGAACCCAGTAATTGCCAGACAACGCTGCTGCGTGATCAAGTCTTAAAAAGTCAAAGCACTGGCGTTCTGCTTTGGCATGTGCATGCTTTCCCTGAGCCATGAAAGCCTCACCCCTTCCAGAGAGGTGCTACTCTGAGCTGGGACCACTCTGATCCGTTTTGTAAATCGGATTGAAAAACTCATTACCACAGCTAACACAGTCTGGAAAGGGCAACAGTCCTGCAGGCCACTCACTGTAGGGCTCACTTCCCCAGGACGTGAGCTGACAAGGGTACAGGTGCCAGCTTGGTAAAGAGAAAGGGGCAGAGATGACAAAAACATCAAAATTCCCCACAAACAACCCAAAAAATCCATCGTAGGATGTAGGTTTTTAGGAAAGGCAAGATCTCTTATCTCCTCATGAACTGTGGCTCTCATGTTGCCCTCAGAACATCTCTCTGCCTTTTAAACACGGGGAGTTCAGCAGCGCTGGCCCCTCCCTGGGTGCAGGAGCTCCATCAGAGGGAGGTGGTACCATCCTGTTCTTCGTTCCAAACCAAGCTGAACCTCTGAGCTACCAGTTCAGCCCCTACCACTGTTCTCCCCCCTCTGTGGTGTTCATTTAGAGTGACCAGGGCTGGTTGAGCTGTAGAACTAAAATACTGCTTTTAAAGTGAGGTTTACTTCAGAAGTTCTCAAAATATATCATGCTCTCAGTCTAAGTGGCCCCTTTCTGGACAGCTTCCAAGGACTAGCACTTGCCCACTTTCTCCCTTCATACTGTGGCGGCAGATTGAATATTTTGGTTTGCTTGCAATGAATTGATTTATGTGAAAAAAAAATCTCTTCCTGCAACACAGCTGCCATACACTCATCCCAACATGCAAAAGAAGAATTAAAAGAATCCACTTCTTCAAAACATGGCATCATTTTCTTAACTCTGATACGTACCGCTATCCTTTTGAAAAGAAAGAGGTAAATTTGTTTTCCATTTTGGGGGTGGAAGTCTATAAATACACATGCGCACGTACTCACCTGAGCTTCTTCCTGACACTTCTGGGTTCATCGTGGCAGGTCCACCCAGGGGTTCAGGAGGTCTCTGCAGTATGTGTGTCTTGGTCTCCCACCGGCGTGTCCCGTCGCTGGTGCTGCTCCCAGTCCCTGCGCAGCGTGTCCCGCTGTCACTCACAACACAGTGGTGAATTTTAAGCACATAAACGAGATGTTCACAATAAGGTCACTTACACAGCTGTACCTGGGACACATTTGCCTGTTGTCCAGACTGCAGCTTTTCAGCATCATTTGTCCTTCCCATCTGCTGGGCAGTGTCTGAAGGGACAGAGGGGCAGGAGTTCCACAGCCAGGTTGGTACAGCAGGTATCCACCAGCTGAAACAAGTCTAGATGTACCCAACTGATGAAAAAGCATGAAGTTTAGCTGTGAGCAGAACTACAGCTGCTCTGATGTGAGCTAGCAGGAAGGAGTGTTTCCAAAATACTAGGAGATGGACAGAAGTGGTAGATGGTTCAGTTACAATGACCACTGTTGAGCAAAATCTGAAACGATGACCTACGTGGTCACTGTAGAACTATTCTCAGAGAACTCCTCCTACATTCCACTTGTCAAGTAATGAAAAAAGAGAATTTAGATCTTACATCCATTGTAAAGTCAGGGTTATGAACAGAAACCACCTGAGCACAAATGTAACACACACACTGCCTTCACAGAGCAAACGTGCAGCACCAACCGGGGCCCAACCTTCCAGCCTGGAGTTCTGAAGCCCACAGTACTGTGCCGTCAAGGGAGAAAACATGTATTTCAGAACTAATGCCAGAAAGCTTTTGTTTTCTCTCAGACTTACAAGAGACTATATGTGTGTGCCTCTGGATCACTGCTGGCTGCACACAAGTAGCTTACACCGCCTGGATGTATTTTGACATTACTTAATAGATACTATAAGCCAGAGCTGATCCCAGCCCTTGCTTATAGTTCAGCTGAACCTCCAACTGTCAGTAGCACAAGGGCTGCTGTTCTGAATCTCAGCCTTCGGACAGGTTCTTGGTTAACACTTCAGAAAGTTTAGGGGCAGAACTCTCTAGGATCAGCTAGCAATGACATCCATACAACTGCATCTGGTTCATCCCAGTTTCTAGCATCCTTTACTCGTTTAGCAGAACAAGTTGGTGGGGTTTTTTTTGGTGTAACAGCTAGTTTTCAACAGTAAACCCCCGATGCAAGAGTTCTAGTATCAAATTTAAGTCATTTTAAAATATCTTGATGATCAAAGCAAATCCCATCAGTACCTTTCACAATTGAGAGAAACGGGTAACTGTTGAGCTAGTTCAGAGTGCTAGACAGAAATTGCATTTTAAAAAAAAATTTATTTAGACATCCGTTGCTCTTAAATTACAAAAGTTAAAAAGAGCCCGCAGTGCACTGACACACTACTTATTACTTCTAAAGCTGTTTTAAGACGTAAGGTGGCTTCTTCAACTCAGCATGACCCAAATTCAACTATCCATTTCTCATATTTCTCAATGTCCGCAGCAGATACAGATTTAGAAACCTTCTTCAAAGCTATTTCAAAGTCTTCCATAGTTGTTGGCATGTGCATGTCGTCTCGGGAAAGATTTCTTATTTCTTCTGGTGTCAAGCCCTCAATTCGCCTTCTCATAGCCATCAACGATGCATCTCTATTAAGGATACAAAAAGAAAAGATACTTAATACAGGATGGTATTAACAGAGTTCAGCTGTTTGAAAGGCTCAACACAGCATTCCAGTTAAGCTGCTGCATTCAAAGATACAATAAAGAATTGTAAAACTTTTACAGGAAGATCTCCAAGTGCTTGTACAACATACAACACCACGCTACCCATATTTATCAAATGTGGATTTATCTTCACTGGATCTTTGAATAGTTACTATTCACAGGCCAGGCAAAAGAGGTAAAGATTAACTGATTTATCAAATGCCATTGCATATCTACCATGTAGCTGCAGTGTTTTTAGACAGGAACAAAGGCAAAGCAATGGTTTCACTCCTCCAATGTACGGGAGAAATGGCTAGAATGTTTTGAATGCTTCCTCATCTAAATAGGAATCCCACTTCAAAGACAGAGGGTCAACAGTATCTACCTCCAACCTACACATTCACAGCTAAATGTTAAACTACAAAATCTGTTCAGCCTGTGGCTCCTCTAACTCCTGTTTGCTTCAATAAGCATTAAGTGCCTTTACAGGTGTGTCTTTTTCTTGCTGCATTAAGTTTGACTGCATTTGGATTTCCAACAGTCATATGGGTAGCAGCAGGTGATGAGCTGGTGGGGGGTAAATTGATAACACTGAAAGACTGAAGTTCCTGCTAATTCATTGCTATATAGCTTATAGTAAGAAGAAAATGCTACTTATTTTGTCTAGCAGCAAAAAAAATGGAAGGGTAATCCTGGTAATATCACAACGGTATCATATCAATAGGTGAGAATCCAAAGAGGGAAAAAAAAAAAAAAAAACTTATATACTGTCTTCTAGAAGATTCAGAAAGACAGCTTCAGCATATTGTTTCAGTTTCACGACCCCCACCCAAAAAAAAAATAACTGACAGACTTCATGAATGTACTTAGTAACTGTTAGTAGCGATTGGAATGCCTAATACAATAACTATCTCTGGCTGGTTTTCACTCTGGCTCAGCAAACTTTGGATTTTACCTCAAATTCTTTAAGGTAGGAGAACAATTTGAGCAAACCAGAGATCTCTGCTCACTTTTTTAGTTTTGCTTGTGTCACTAGCAAGGACTGTTAGAGTTTACTGTATGTCTGAACCATACAAAAGCACTTTTACATCAGCCGTATGTCTTTTTGTCTCAATGTAAATGAGACAATCGTGTTTAAGATCTGTTTTACCTGACACCATTAACAAAGTGTAAATACACAGACTAGTATGAGTAGTTTCTTACTAATTTCAAATCATGCACATACAGACACCAGCTTGCTGGATTTCTGGTTGCTGCCACCTCCGTCATCTCTAAGGAGAATGTCACAAATGAAAGGCTGGAGTGTTTCTTTTGTGTTTTTTTCTTTTGCTTGTTTTTGTGCTTTTGCTTGCTTTCTTTTTTTTTTGTAATAGCATTTGTACAAATAGACTTTGATTAAAAATAAAAAGCAACAATGCGTGTGTGTATATATATATCTGAAATTAACTCAAATACATTACAAGTATTCTGACTGTTAAACAAGTGTATCAGTAACCAGTAAAAAATTAATTACAAATAACGAACACTGAACAGACCGGAGGAGACAAACTGAGGCTAAAATGCACAAAGCAGCAGGCCAAATAAATTCTCTTTCATATAACGTGAACCTATTAGCACAAACTGCTTTCAAAGCACTAGGACTGTGCAAAAGGACACCACAAACTCACCTCACAAACCTGCAGATGAAACAAACCTGCACAACACTGATTCAGAGAAACTAACATGCCGTTCTTTTCCCAGACACTGCGTAAGGTTTGTTTAGGGAATAGTACTGAGCCCCCCCGGGCCCCCAACAGTCGTGTTGGCACGACTTGGAGCTGAAGCCTTGCACTGCTACACTTTAGTGCTACCTCCAAAGCCTGGAAGTGTAGTTACACAGGTGCTTATTGGATGACAACAGCATCGTGACATGTTTCAGCCCTGTGTCCCATACTGCTGACTCCACAGTTTGCCACCACTAAAACTGTGACAGTGCAAATCTTTATACCTAAACCAGATGACTGATATTAGTCTCATAAAAGAGTAATCCTTTCCTTCCCTTTTCAATTTTTGAAAGGAAAGATTGGGGGGGAGGGTTAGAGTGCATTTTTAGTCAATTATTTCGGGAATCTGGGTTATAGAACAGGCCCACAAATGCCTGCGTGCCAACAGCACCGAGGAGAAGGGGAGATAGAGGAGGTAGAAGAAAACTTAAGTCAGCCTCATCACGAAAGCCAAAGTGCTGAGCACACAGCTCTTGCACTGTCACACAATACAGTACACCTTCTCTGTGTCACGAAGGAAGAACACCTGCATTTTTACTTTAGTGATTCTGGCCTTTGCCACTATCCCCTCTTACACCCAGGTGTTCTGTTGAAGTAGCAGAACCTCAGTGGAACAACTGTAACTCTACAAGTTCAACTCGACCAACTGGTGGATATTCCTCACGCAAGGAATTTGGTATACCTGAAAGAACATGGAGTTTTACCTGAATCATAGCTTGTTTAGATTACTGTGTTGCAACTGCTCTTTATCATTATTATATGAAAATATCAAATGGAAATCTAGGCAAGTATTAATGCACTCTTTCATCTTTTAGCCATACATAAAAGACAAGTTACGGTCTGCTTTTATCCAGCAACTTTACTCATGTAAATTAGTTACTATACACACAGTTTTCTCAAAGTTTGTAGCAGTAGGAGCACAAATGATGCAAAGTTAACATACCTGCATACGTTGGTAATGTCTGCACCTGAATAACCCTCCATTTTCTCAGCTATATTTGCAAGGTCGACATCATCAGCCAGTTCCAGCTCTCGCAGATTTATTCTTAGGAGTTCCTCTCTACCTTTCGCTAATCAAAGAAGAGAAAATTAAGTTTATACAATTTGCTTTCTGAAGATAAATAATGAATTGAAGAGGGTGAAGAGAGGTATGAGGGAAGAATGTGAAAAGGACATAGTACTTGCTACAAAGCTAAAATGGTCAATGTTTAGATTTAACCCGGTCCTGAATTCATAAATGAAATTGCATACATGTATCAATTAGATTTTTAAACCAAGTGATCAAAACTAAAGAAGTATCGTTAAAGTTTAGATTTTAGTCTTTTCAACCACTCCTCTCCCTATGTCTTCATACCTGATGGCAACGGAATGTAAATTCTCTTTTCTAGTCTCCGTCTTAGGGCTTCATCAATATCCCAAGGAAAATTAGTAGCAGCAAGTACCATGACCATCTTAGAAGGATCATCATTTTCAGTAGCCCCTCCAACACCTGCAATGGGGAAAAGAGGAAGTAAAACATACGTAAGCTTTATGAACTCTCATGTATAGAGAACAATATCCACAATCCTATGACATAAAGGAGCTACTCTATTGCACTTTAGTGAGTCCAAGTGCAGTAGCATCACTAAGAGCAAAGGAGTTCAGTTTTTCATCTGTATGACAGCCTGCAAGCAAAAATGGAGACTGTTCAATTAGAAGCAGTGGCAAAGGCCACTGCCCAGATCAGGAAGTTTCTCTCTACCCACGCTGGAACGCTTTTACAGCAGAACTGTTTGCACTTCTGCCATCACAGTGTTTGAATTTTCACATCACTGTCCTGAACAGCACGTGAGGAAATACAACACAAACCCATCACTCCACCAAAAAACAGATGCCCCCCTGTTCCCCAATAGTACTCGGTAGGCAGCATTACTGCCCTACAAAGTTTCTTCACTTCTGAATTCAGGCCAAATGTAAGAATCCACCTGAGTACGTGATGCAAACTGCTGAAGTGAATGTTTACATTTGGTGGACTGAATCACAGCTTCTCAGAGGCAGAGAAAACACACCTCGGTCTCTAAAGCACTGTGAAACTGCTGCTATATGAAAATGTTAATTTCTTTAAACTTGCTACCCTCTGCATTTACTGTTTTTGCTTATAATCATAGGATTGGGCTGTAGAACAGCCATTGTACCTACTCTGCTGGAAAATTTGCATATAAAATACCATTTATGAACCCTAAGTAAAAGGACTTCAAATAGCTGCTACTAATAAAGTTAGCTTATGTACATTCTTGAGTTATGAGACCAGCACTACAGCTCTGCTACTATTTAAAGTCAAACATAAAAGTGTATCAACATCAGAGAACCAGAAATAAGTCTTCTGACTCCTAGAATTCTATCACTAACTACTCCATAGATTAGCACTTTTCAGAAGCTCCTTTCCCTCTCCCAGCTCGCCAAAGAAGTATACAAAGGATGCCTTTATAGCAACTTTGCACAGTGTTACCTACTTTTAAACTTTGTTGATAACTCTCCCAACTGCTTCTATAAAAAACTGCCTTAATTTTTAATTTATTTGTTTAGGAGAAAAAAAGACATTCCAAAGAAATAAAGCGTAAAGATTGACTTTGAAGTTTTAAATGAAACAGATGACAGTTCTTTTGAACCACTTTTTACTTTTGAGAAGTGATATGCTAGGAAAGATTGATATGAGCAACTAATACTTTTTTTCTTCTGCAGTTCTAAAATCGCATATTCTTCATATCTTCTCATATTCATCTTCATTATTCTGGGTCAGTAATATAAGTTCACTGCTCAGATGCTAAAAATTGTTAAATAATTGGTATCTTTTTTCCTTCCACACTGACAGTCGGAATAGTACATTTGTATCTTTTAACCCCAATTTTACGTAAGGCTTTCAAACAAATTGCTTCTTGAGAATGAAGTTTTGGTTATTTTTTGTCTCCCTCAAGTTTCCTCCAGCCCAGCGTTTCCCAATGATCAGGTTATTTACCATCCATTTGAACTAGCAGTTCTGCCTTCACACGCCGGCTGGCTTCGTGCTCCTCTGAAGTTCCCCTGCGACTACAGATAGAGTCTATCTCATCAATAAATATAGTTGTCGGGGCATAAAATCGAGCCTAAAGGAAGCAAAAGATAAAGCAGAAACTGAAAAGTCAGTCTACTCACACCTAAGAAATAGCAGCATATTCAGACCCATTTACCCCAACAAATCAGCTCATAAGTATCAAACAATACCAAACCTCCCCTCTCTTTGACCATTGCACACAACTACAAAGCAGCCGTGCATTCCTTAATAACATTTGAGCAGAGCAGTTTTTGGCAAAGTCCTATAATTGTTAGGGCTATAAACAAATGTTTAATAGGCTAAAGGCAGTTTTAAACATTAGGAATAACATTTATAACTGTGAAAGTCATCATAGAATGCTTGATTAGAACTCAGTTAAAGCAAGGGCAAACACTAAGCCACAACACCATGATATGAACCTGTCCAAGACACAGGTCAACTGCAAAATAACTCTAACCTTTCTGAAAACAAGAGAAGTCAAAGGCAAGGATCTGCAATAATAAAAGCTACTGTCCTACAGCAGTTGAGATGCTGTCCACTGTGTATATGCATTTTTGATTGACAGGCATGATATCAACTCATGATCACACTGTAAAAGATCTTTTACTTCCTGACTTTTCTGACTACTGTAATTGCAACTCTGCTGCCCCCTTCAGTACTGGGCACCCTGGCAAACACTGCACGCAAACCTGGCAACATGAAAAAAACCCTACATATTCTGAGCCAATTTCAAGCGTTATGTGCTCTGAAGCCAACTACAGTTTGGATCTGCTTGTTTTAAGCACAAACAAACAAAAAAATCCACCCAAAACAACAAAACATGCACAGCCAAAGTAGGGTTCTCATCCAGAAAACAGTAAGACTCCATCTCAAATTTCACATTCAAGTATGTTCTACAGCACTCATCAGTTTATGGAAAGCTACATCTAATGTAACAAGCTAACCCTGAAAAGAAAGACAACCTAATTTTCAAATTTTTATAAAGCTGTTTAGGAATAATCAGATCTTGAATGTACATGGCCAAATCAGATGGTCCTGAAGTGTCTGAAGCTTGGAGATCTGTTTATGTATGCTAAGAGTTCTAAATCTTGGCAAGGTTTCACTATTCCAGAAGTAATTCTACTTCATTATCTCATTATTTATGTTCAGAAACTTCAATCACCATTTCAAAGAGTAGACGAACAAGTTTCTCAGATTCTCCTCTGTATTTTGAGGTAAGTGTGGAAGAAGAAACATTGAAAAAAGTAGTCTTGCATTCCGTGGCTACAGCTTTTGCCAGGAGGGTCTTTCCAGTACCAGGAGGACCAACCATCAGCACACCCTATTGAAATGAAAAAGAACTCCTTTTAGGACGAGAATCAAAACACAGACAATTTCACAGTTTGTTTAATCATGTAACATTAAAATACTAGATGTAAACATTCCCTTGAAAAGTTATTCAAAGGTAGGCAATTAATTACTATTGCTTACTTGCACCAATATAGCTGAAGACAGTATTTTTATCTGGATGACATCTTTATTTTGTTAGTACTATTTACCATAAATTTTGTTACTAAAAAGTGGAAAGAATTTATATAAACTGTAAAACACCTGCAATTTATTGTTCCACCAAGACCCAACCTCAGAATCCTACTTACGAGCATAGGATCAGATTTTTTTCATACCTTCCATGGTCTTCTAATTCCCTTAAAAAATTCTGGCATCCACATAGGTAAAACTACAGCTTCCTTAAGCAGCTTTTTGGCATCTACTAAATCAGCAATGTCATCCCTGACAAAAAAAGAGAAAATTGTTTGAGAGATTCAGACAGGCTGCAAAAGAATCAGTCCACAGGTCAAAACAACGTGCAATCAAACTTATTTCTATGTTAAGAGCAAGAAGTTGTTCTTATTCACAGAAAGAATAAATCTCAGGGCATTCTGCTTATCTGCATGTGCCCAAGTAATATTTTGGTATTGAAACATATCTATATGGAGAACTAGTTTCAAATCTGAAACTGTAATTTTAAGATTCAATATAAAAACTGAAACATATATTTACATACTAAAATGAAATATGTGATAGTTGCATGCATACAAAGTTGTTTGTGGGATTGTTCAAGGTTTTTTTTAAGCCTACTTTATTTGCCAGATTTTTGCTCGTTTAATCCTCACAAAACCACCTAAGCTTAGAAACATTTGAAACACAAAACAACCTTTGTATAAGGTTTAATATTTAACACATTTATGTAAAGGTACTGGCACGTGGTTGTATTTTATACTGGCAGAAAGATCACGCCCAGCAAGATTTCAAAGGGTTCCTATATTGACATAACTTCTTTGTAATTGGTTTTCTATCATTGGTATGCCCCTGGGCAGAAAAAACAGGTTTTAAAACGAAGAGGTTCTAGCAGACACTAGAACCCCATACATTGCAAAAGAGTATCTAAAAAAAAAAAAGATTTCAGGACTCAGACTTTTCTAAAGTTTGAGAAGCTTTGTATGGTCAGGTTGGACGGGGCTTTGACCAACCTGATCTAGGGAGAGATGTCACTGCCCACAGCAGGGCGTTGGGCTAGATGATCTGTAAACGTCCCTTCCAACACAAACTATTCTATGAATCTATGGGTGGAAAAAAAAGTTCTAAAAATATTAAACTACACAAGAAGTTTAATTGCCTGTTTAACTAGTAAAGAAAACATATAGGTACTTTTTATATGTAGGCATGTACTAAAATCCTTTATTCTTGTCATACTGTACAAAAGGAAAAAGAAACATCCCAGAAAGACTGGCAGCAGTATTCAAACTTACCATCGAATGTTGGGATTCTGAGAAATTATATCTCTTTCCAAAGCTTCTACCAAATCTTTATCGTATCCAGTACCATCAAATTTCTTTGGTTCAGGCTCTGAAATCTCAGATGTGGATTTGTTCTACATATAAAGGATATAACAACGTAAATACAGAACAAAGGTTATGCTACTAGTAGAGTTTTTATAACGAGTCCACAATAGCATCATATTTCTAGAAGGTGGCAACATAAACCAGCATGAAAATTATGAACCATCTGTATTACTGCTATGCTATAGGATCTATGCGGTTCACCCAAAGTTCTGCACTGCCCTGGTCCCGTTTCCTTCTCCCCGAGGCCAGCATATTGTACTGATGCAGTTTCTTTGCTTTAGTGGATAATTAAAACTGCATACACCTATCCCAGTGTAACAGTGTTAACCTCTTCTCCCAGAGAAATCCAAAACCATCTGAGACAGTAGCTGGGAGAGGGTGGGGGAAATTATGCATGAGACAGGATCAGATAGTGTCATATTGAGCTACAGTATCTCAAATCTTCTGTCGTAAATACGCCATATATATGGGACACAAACAATTAAGCAGGACTTCCACATGTAGGATGAGCAAAGTTGATCTGCAAGAAGACCACAGAAGTAAAAAAGAGCTAATTAACTGATACAGAAGCATGGACAAGAACAGCAGAGAAGAAGCAAAGAAGCTACACAGTTGAAAGGGCTCAAAGAGCAGAGACCATGCAACTGAAAGGACATAAAACACACTAAACATACCCTGTTTTTTTATACACTTAACAGCAAGCACTGGTGATGACAGAACAACTGCAAAAAGAAGAAAGACCTATCCCATCTCTGTGTGTGTATATCCTTAGTGAGAGAGGATTATCACTCAAAGACAAAGTAATCTAACTCCTAATAAAAGTAGTAGTTTACATAGCTAAACAATTCCACCCTTGTAGTTCATACTACTTCCACAGGCCTTGGCACCTTGCCACAACATAGAGTTGCTGAAGCCAATAAACTATCACACAGATATTCGATTTATTCAGACTCCAGAAAACAATGAATTTAGCATCTTCAGTACAATCTCTTACTCCGGTAAGTTTATGCTAAATTTATGGAGACCAGAGTACAAGCAAAAATCAAAGCACTCTGACTGCAAAGAATGGATCATTCTCTGTCATAAAGTATGTTTGTTTTAAACTGAAAAGACCCTGGAGCTAATATCAGATCTGAACAACAACAACAACAAAAAGTAAAGGTCTCCCTTTAAGATTAAATAAATCTTGAAATGCTTTGGACCAGGCAAGCCAATTTCAGTCTAAAATACATGACAGCAATTAAATAACGCACAAGGACATGCCTTTTGAATGAGTTTCATCAGGCTCTGTTTCAGTAATTAAGGCGTAATTTTAACAACTATCCCCAAGTTGCAATAAACAAGCCCCCATTTACCAGATCACTTCCTCCAGATGAGGGTTTGTTGTTCGTTTTTTTTTGTTAATTAATCCGTAACCAAGACTGTCTATAAAGCAAAGATACTTTCCAAGGTGAGATTCAAATCAGCATGCTGACTTGAAGAGAAGAAATATTTTATAGGGATCTAATTTTACAATATACTCGCTATTAAGAAAGCATGGTGATTTGCAAGCTTACCTTTTCCTCTTTTCCTTTATTTTGCTGATCCTTTTTTTCCCGGCTGCGGACTGCCTTCCCTTTATCATTGAGATTTCGAGAGGACGGACGGTGAGGGCCTCTGACAGCTGCACTTATACGATTATTGTGAGCTCTGCAATCACTGCACGGAGCAGACTGACGCTTTCTGGGTCCCGGCGAAGGTCTAATTAATTGTAATATATGCAAAAAGCCTGAGTGTAAAGTCACTGGTCATCACTACATAATCAAATCAACTGTTTACAAAACAAATATTCATTTTGCTGAAGATAAAAATCTGTATGTCAGAAACAAGACAGACATTTTTAGACAGCCCCTAAAAATCCATTTCCCCTTCGCCACAAGCTCAGGGACCATTTGCTTAAAACAAGCTCCTTACTTTGCTTTACATGTTTCATAAATTAAAGTAATCGTAGTATTACAGAGCTTAGAAGGAAAAAATAAACCAAAATGAAAGCAACCACAACAAAAAAACGACCACCCCAAAAAAACTAACCCAATATATTTTCTCCTTATCACAATTGTCCTCACTGTGCTGCCCAAGGAAATGTAAGGGTTTCTTGGGAATGACAGTTCTATTTTCACTTCCTTTTGTTTCCGCTTCTTCGGAAAGGAAATGTATATGTGAGGCCTCCACTTGTTTGAAACTAGACTACTTTTAGAAGCAGATATGAATAAAACCAGTATCGTGATTGATATTAGAGATTTCTTTTTTAAAAATTCTGGTTCATCCTCATACAAATCTGTTACTCTCAGAGATACACTTTTTCCATGGGCCTTCCTAAAATTCCAGCATTAATAACCTATAAGTCAAGTTTACTTCGGGGATATTTCTAGAGAACAGAAAATGAAAGACTGATTTGGAGAGCATTTACATGGACTAACAGACGTGCTTTGACATATCATTCAAGATAAATCAGAATCCAGTACCTTCATAAAATTTGGTTTAATTGATTCACAGCAGCAAGTTTGTCAGAACTGTACATACCTCTTCAGGATGAAACGCATCTTAGGCACATGAATATGCTAATGTAAGATCCTACATGTTAAAGTCTTTTCACTCTCCAAATGGAGATCTATCAACCTCTACTTTTATTTATGAACATCCCCAAAGCTAGAAGTGTTCATAAACCTCTGGATTCCACCCCAAAGCTCAAAATAAAGGAAGAGTGTGATTGTGTCTGATTTCCACCTAAATTTGTGAGTTCTGCTATCTCAGTATAGGAATTTACATAGTCTGAGTTTTCACTGTGGCTTTTTCATACTACCACAACTCAATACTTGACCAGCTGACAGGATAAATGGAACAGAAATTTCAAGTCTTTTCCTTTTACAAACATGAGTTTGTGTATCTCTTCTCTAGAAAGCTAAAAAATATTGGGAAAGTTCTACCTCCCAGACTCTAGTCTCCCAGAAGGTTTGAATGAAAGTGGCCAGCAGTGTTCCAAGGTTATTAAATGAGATAAACAAGAACAGTGTGATCACACAAGACCCATTTCTTTCAGAAAGCAGGCTTAAAGTAAATTAATTTTTTTTTAAAATGTAAAATTGTACCCGTAAACACTGAAATTATCCATCTGCAAGAAATAGATTCAAAGCCTCAAAGAATAGTTTGACAGTACTGCTAAGCTGATCTAAATAATCACTTTCTGTCAAAATGCACAGTTCCATGTCTGCTTTGCATGCACTTCTGGTTCCCTCCTTCATGCTACTACTGGCATGCGTTAGAAGCTCCAATTAATTAGTTCAGACATCCAATTTCATGAAGAAAAAAAATAAAAATGAACACAACAAACCCCAAACCAACTAAAAGCCAAACAAAAAAATACAAAAGCCCCACAAAACACTGTCTTTTTACCAGCTTAGCATCTCAAACCAGCCAATCAATGCCAACACAGGCAAAAGTGAAATAAACCTCAGGCAACTGTGGGGGGTAGGACTATCCTTTCAGCAGCAACTACCCTGTCAAACCACACCACAAGGCCTTGGTTTCACAGACACTAGCTCGGCATAATTCAAAACTACTTCTGAAATAAGCACGTTTGCCTGCAGCTGCGTGTTCCCACCCCTTCCCTTGGGCTTCTGCTAGCCTGACCAGTTTATGAGGCAGATCAGGGAACCACCTTGCTACAGGAACAAAGCTTGGACACTTCTGGATTTTACTGTTCCTCTGATAATACTTCTTCACTCTATTCATACCAGCTCCAAGCAGAATCATTTTAAAGTCGATGAGAAGATCAATTCAGGAATTGAGCTTCCATGGAATGACAAGTTTATCTTAAGTTAGGAGATAACAACAACAAAAAACCCCTCATGTCAAGCCTACGTAAGATAAAAGCCCCAGAACATGTAAGTGTTACACATCTAAGTTCTGTAAATTACTAAGGAGCAGACTGAAGTCAAACCACACTTTGCTCTGATAAACATTAATTTAGGTCTTCAGTTTTCCCCTTACCTACGTTCAGCAGGTACTGGCAAAGACCAGACTTCTGCATCATGAGCTGGTAATTCTTGTTGTGAAGCTTTCAATGGAGTACTGTCTAGTTTAAAGCTCTCTAGAGTTTTCATTATATCTTTCACGTGTTTAGCTTCTACACTTATCTCCTGCCAAACCTGATAAAAAAAAAAAAAAAGTAGATTAAGCACATTACAAATAAGTTTGTAACAATCCTCTGTTCAAGCCCATGTAATGCTTGGATGGGTTCCAGGAGGTTTCACAAGCTAACTGATTCTACTTTCACGGACAAGAATAACACACCTCAGATATTAAGAAGGTTTTTCTGCCTTCCTCAGCACATTTAAAGAACAAATAGATTTTGGATTTAAAACCAAATAGACTTTTGAAAAGAAATTTCGCATATTAAACAAGTACGACAGAAGCAAGCGCAACGTAACAGACTGAATATCAATGAAAAAACAATCATTTGTGTTAAGGATAAAATAACATGGTAGCCACAACTCAGTTTCTATTAAGGATCTGTAAGTCCCACTACTAAAACAATGAGAGGGAAATACAACTATTCAAAAGGATACCAGCCCAAAAAAAATTGAGCATAACAGGGACACTCATCAGCAAGAAGCTGACAAGCCAGACAGTACACTGGCTCCCCAGGGCTGTGTTCCTTTGTCTGTTTTTTCATTGTCAGAGCAAGAAGTCAAAGAAGACTTAAATCTGTATAATACGAAAAAAGCCTATATATAACAGCACTACAGTTTATCAGAGAATTGTGTAAGTATTTTTATATTTTGTTTCACCATAAGACAAGCAATTTTTGCTGCTTTAATGCTTTTCGCTCAAAATGTCCCAGAAAAGTACTCTTTACCTGTTGCCATTTCTGCTGCAGATAGGTATCTCTGACAGAGTAGAGGTACTTATTCATTTGGTCAAGAACTCCCTGGTAGTAGACCATCGCAGAGTCATAATTTCCCAGTAAGGCATATTCACGGGCCAGCTTTACATTCTCACTGATCATAACAAGGCTCATGTTCAACATGAAGCTGAAAAAAATAGGAAATATTAAGATTAAAAAATAATAATCCCAGGACCAGAACAAGTTTTTGGAATTATTTTCATAAGCTCGTTACCTCATTTGGCTTATTGAAACACAGAAGCTGGAAACATACTGGCTAGAAAAAGCTCCTAGAACAAATGTCATCCATATAAAACGGTAATTGATTCTCTATTACTAGAAATGAAACTCTTCACTTCATTGAGTTGTTTTATGCAATGAAGATTCTACTGAAAAGCATATACAAGATACACAGATTTAAATGTACCATTGCAACCCACAACTGCATATGTTCCTTCCCTCTTGGTATTTTACTGTTAGCACTATAACATCATCCATACTGTATCAGCCTGTGGTTTAAAAAAACCCAATACACAATAAACAAAAGCCCTTTCTCCAGATGCAATAAGTTGTGTCATTCTTTTTGCTTTAAAATTCCATGCATACAAGTTTAACAGCCTGATTTTGCCTTGAGGAGAACACTATTTTTCAGTTTGTTTGATTTTACAATTCTTCAGTTTTATTCAATGTTTTTTCGAAACAAATATCCATATATCCAGCTTGCACCTTCCTATCACCTTCATTTTCACACTTAGAAGACTCTTAAAAAATGTTGAGGCTGTTAATTTATCACTGAAAAGTAAGTAAAGGCCCCAATTAAATGTTTAGTGTGTAGCTACCCACTTTATTTAACATTTTGGTCAAACCATGCTATTTTTTGCCACCAGTAGGTTGGGGTTTTTTTGGAGCAAACATGGACTGTGACCACTTCTACTCCGTAGCGTTAATAGAATCTGCACTTCTAGTTTAGAATAGCACAGAATTATTATTTATACAAATATAGTAATAAGTAGACATAGTAGATTTATTCTTTACAGTACAGCCACTGTCCATATACCAGTCATCCTATACACACCATCCCCTTCTTTTCTAAGACACCTGAACAGTCTCCACTTTTCCTGTCTCTTGCACACCAAGAATTTCCCTGTTCTCCTAACATCCTAAAACCAAGCACAGAAAATGTTAAAGTAAGCAAATAAACATGCCTGCAGCCATCTTGCTCTCCTTTCAGTACCTGTACCTGATGCCAGTAAGAAGCGATTGCAGACAAGCAATTAGGGCTAAGCCCTGGGATGAAGCATACTTGATAGAGATCAACTATTTAAAGAATGTAAGAGGCACTCAACTCACATGCGCAATAAACAGAATTAAGACTGAACACATTTCAAGACCAGGTCACGGTCAAATTTGGACACATTATCAGAGGTTTCAGAAGCCACATTTTGATTGCTAAAATAATAGCTCCCCATTGTAAAAAGGGGCTGCTAAGTACAAATCAACCATTTTAAGATTTCCACTCCATTTTCTGTTCTCTTCCCTTTAGGCACCAACACACAGCTGATCCATTCCTGAGCCACCATCCTCTTCTTTTCTTCTTCCTTGCTCTTCCTTCCCCAGTTTCCCTTGAAACAGACAGCTGCTGTGAAAAGTTTCAGCCTAAAGAGCAAATTCTGGCAGCAGCGGAGCTGAAGACAGGCCTCTGACATCCCACACCCATCCGTGCAGAAGGGATCCGTGGGGCTGAGCCTGGAAACCTGCTATCCCAAAAAGCTACTCTATATAATCTCACTCTGGCCAGAGGCTCGCTGGGCTGGCCGCAGCGATGTCTACAAGCTGATAACTAATGTGACCAGCAACTACAAAGACTACCATATCCCAGGCTAATTAGGCTTTGGAGACATTGTTTGACTTGGGAGTTTTGTTGGTTTTTACCTCGGGTGAAAGAGCCTAAAGATGTTTGTCAACTGCTGTATGGATCATCACACGGATATTACCAAAGTCTTCCCTGCTATATTTAGGAGCAAGCTTTTCCACTCCTGCTCATCCTACCAGATACACCTGTTTGCCTGTCCTGAGAATTCAAACGGATGACTAACACTACTGAAATCACAAGTTGAGCAAGTTGCTAATAAACATTTTAGAAAAATCAAGTAATAGCAAGTTACTAAAGCCAAACTAGACTTTCAAACACCGAGAGAAGTCATAGGTAACTTTTTACACCAAACACTGTAAAGCAACCCAAGAAAAACGGAATTCTGTTTAAATATCCAGAAAAAAAAAAAAAAAAAAAAAAGAAAAAAGAAAAGTTTGTAAGAGTAGTTTTCATCTGGAAATGTGAAAACAGCAAGAATCCAAAGAAATCCAAAGCGGCTAAGTCAGAAAGACATGAAAGCTTGGGTTAAAAATGACAGGATTACACATAACAGAATGTGATTTTTCAGGTGAGAGAAGACAGAAAGGAAGTACAGAAAAGAGGAAAAGACACAGAAGAATGAGCTAACACCTCATACAGGAGAAAAAAAAAAGGAAGGTGCTTACTTAAATTTATAAGGCTTCCAACATAACCAAAAGAGTAACTCCAATGAAAACCTAGAATTCATCTGTTCCATCAGACACAAGAGAATTTAGTTTAAACTAGAAAACCAATTTAATTCGTTGCTTCATATTGAGTCATAAGAGCAGAAAAGCTTGAAGTGGCTTCCAAATACAAGGCTCTTGTACATAATTGGGGCAGAAAAAGCTGCTAATTCCGCTTATATGTTTGGACACGCCACTGCTGCTGCCATTTGAACACCAGCAGTGCCAGAGACAATACATTAATGTGAGTCCATAGGCTTACTGCACCTGTAACTGAAGATGCTGAAGCAGTTCTAAGACCAGGAATGGGGGGAAACACAGTCAGAGTACCAACCTGAAACCAGATTGAGATTTGCTGCACAAAGTTTTAAGTAGGCTGTGGCAGCTCAGAGTAGGGTGTAAGACACACGTGGGAGAGGAGTGAGTACGCACAAATCCAGAGTTTAACCAGACCTGAAGGAATTAAAAAATAAAAACACGAACGGAACTAATCCTGCACCACTTAATACTTTTAAAAGTGTTTACAAGTACCTTGTGCTATCATGCAACAGGATGTCAGAGCAGCAAGGCTGTACTTATCAGCTATGACCTTTCCGTGAATCATGCCCAGTAAAGTTATCTCTGTTCCAACAGCAACTGAAGGAGCTTGTAAAGTTTACAAGGAACAGGATATAAGTCAAATAACCTAAGCACTTTGTCTTGCAAGTTTAATTTTACACTGTGTAAAAACAGGTACACTTCACAATAAGAATGCACACTCTACACTAACTCTATTCACAGTTCCCTGAAGTTACCACAATAGAAATCCACCAAATTAACCCATTTCTAGTAACAGAATACATTTATCACTTGCTCCAAGCCCCTGAAATACTTTTAGCATTTGGAACAGCCAAGAGCAGTGTGGATTGAAATCTAACAAAGGTCAAGATACCTACAACTTTTAAGAATAAGGCTTTGGAACTTATTTTTAGATTTTATTTTAAAGATAACAGCCTGGCTATCTTCAAGAAAACAGTGGGAATTGTGGATGTAAGAAATTATCATCAGGAACAACTGTATGTAATTTCTGCTCACATGCCCACATTAGAATTTGGGAAGCCCAAACTGAACATAGTATCAGTCCTGTTTCACAAAGAAAGCCCCCACAACTTCAAAAAATAAATAAGAGATCAATAAGCAGATGTTGTGAGGGAAGATCACAGTCAGGGTCTACCAGTTCCCACAGGGACCCATCAACCACTCTGTTGACTCAGAGAACTGCAGAAGCCACGCAAGGAAAATACCTCTGAAGAGTCCCTTCAGTCCAACCTTAATGCTTGGACTATGCCAGAGCCTGAATTTTGGCAAAGCATGTATGTTTCCATTATTTCAGCCTGCTGTACAGGCTCTGACATCACAGAATGGTTTGGGTTGGAAGAGACCTTAAAGGTGACCTAGTTCCAACCCCCCTGCCATGGGCAGGGACACCCTTCCACTAGATCAGGTTGCTCAAAGCCCCAGGCTGGATGGAGCTTTGAGCAACCTGGTCTAGTGGGAGGCGTCCCACAAGCAACCACGTAAAATTTGGGAAGTCCTCTCAGCAAGCCAGAAGAGAGAAAAAAAAACAAACACCAAAGTAATAGGTTTCAGGAATCCATTTTTACAGCTAACACGGTGGCCTGCGATTAGACTGCATCATCTCTGAGCTCCCTTCCAGCATTGGCATCTTACTTCATAACATGCACTCCCAGCAACATTTGGTATCAGCAAGCAACTGTGCTAATTATGTGGGAAATAGTAGAGTTGCCAGACTTATTGGATACTAAACAAACTGGTTCTCATCCACGTACTGTATTTAACAGTAACGGTAGCAAAAGAAAAGCCACCAGCCACCACAAACATAATACTTAGATGTCTGTGCAAAAAAAAAAAAAAAAAAAGGCAAAAAATCATTAGATAAGAGACGCACTGTTGGCAAATTATTTTGTTTTCAAGGCTAAGTCTTTCAAAAGGCTTAAAAAAATAAATCTCGTTACCTGCTCCCCATTTCATGGGGGCTGGCATTCTTTCAGGTGGTCAATGCTAAATTAGTGAGCTGCTCAGAAAGCTTAGAAGGGTCTGAAGCAGAATGGGGGGCTAGAAGGGGGGGGCTACAGCTTCTCCTCGGGCAGAAAACTAGTGTAATCACGGAATTGTCAGGGTTGGAAGGGACCTCTAGAGATCATCTAGTCCAACTCCCCTGCCAAAGCAGGATTGCCCAGAGCACATCACTCAGGACGGCATCCAGGTGGATCTTGAAAATCTCCAGAGAAGGGGACTCCACCACCTCCCTGGGCAGCCTGTTCCAGGGCTCTGTCACCCTCACCGAAAAGAAGTTCTTTACTTATATTTGAGTGGAACTTCCCATGTTCCAGCTTGTGCCCATTGCCCCTCATCCTGTCACTGGGAAACACTGAAAAGAGTCCAGCTCCATCCTCCCTCAAACCGCCCTTTAGATACTTGTAAGCATTGATTAGGTCTCCCCTCAGCCTTCTCTTCTCCAGGCTAAAGAGCCCCAGCTCTCTCAGCCTGAGAGAGAAGAAGAAAAAAAAAGTTTTTAATTCCAAAAAGCTTACTTCATGAAGAAAAAGCAACAGGTGTGGGGGAAGGGAGGCGCACAGCCCAAAGCTGAGGGTGCGGAGGAGCGGGGCTGGTGCCCGAAGGGAGCAGCCCCCGGCCCAGACCCCCGGGGCCCAGCCGAACCCCCCGCGTTTCCACGGCTTCAGGGAGGCGGCGGCGATGTCCCAGCACCTGCGAGCTACCTCGGCGACATGAGACCGACGGTGCGAGGGTCGCAGGTGTCCCGACAGCAAAAGACTCCCCTTTCCGAAGTGGCGCCCGGACGGAGAAGCC